AATAATTTTGTTAACTCATTTTGCTCCTACCTTGATGGTCTATAAAAATAAGATTATACGTCTGGATGGATGGATGGATGGGTGGTAGTAATTCTAAAGCTTGTTACTGAACTTGCTGACTAACATTAATGCACACAGTAGGTATTGTTTAGAACCATGTCCCCAGTTGGGTTGCAGTCCTGGCTGGCCAACTGATCTTTTTATATTTACTTCTGACAGCTTTGCTTGTGGCCTCGTTGGAGAAATCCAAGGACTAAGTCATTTGTTCCTGTCGTGTCTCAGTACTTCACACTTGTTAAAAGTGCTGGGTGTACTGGCACTCAGCGTGCACAAGGCTTATTGTTTCTTTTAGGTTTTATTTTGTCTAGAGTTTGCTTTGATGCAGCAAATCATCTACCCTTTCTACAGTTCATGTCCCTCAGGGCACAAAGTATATTTTCCAGCAGGCTTAAATGGTTTAAGAACTTAAATCCCCCAGACCTCCAAAGAGATTTGTATTCACTGATGGTGGTATTTTTTGAAAACCCCATTCAGAAGGTGCTGAGTGCAAGCAATTGTGCTAGGAAGAGGTCATCTTGCTACCCTTGGAAGGGTCATCTTACTACCAAACACCATATTTAAGTGGAATAACAACTTTTATGGCAAGTCCTTACCTCTTTCTCATCCTGACTTCCAAATGGCTGGAGTCCAGTGAGTGTGACCAACCCCTCTCTTGTATGCCAGCCAAGAACTTATTGTTTTCTGACCTTTTTTTCCTGAATTTTCCTGACCTGCATCCGTAGTGGCCATTTGGCAACACGTTGAGAGCAAAGGAGCGTGGCAGGGCGAGTTAGCCAGGCTGTGTGCGGCCGTCCCACCAGGCTGAAAGCCAATGACTACACCGGCAGAAATTTCATGGGAGAACTTGCCAAAGAGTGCCCTTGTCTTTGAAAGTTGTGTGTCAGTTTATTTCAATGAAAGCAGTGAAACCCAAAATACAAAGTCATGTATTTGAGGACATGCTGTGGGTCTGATCACTTGAGTTGCATACAAGTGTCCACCATGGGTGACACACAGTTAAGAAGGTCAAAGGCGGCGGAGAAGTGGGAAGAAACAAGTTTAGGGGAGAATTCCTGATTTCCAGTGGGGCAACTGGCAGATGTTTCTTGCTTCTCAGCACAATGACATTTGTTTTTAGTCTTAAAAGACGTATCATAACTCGATGCTAAACTTGTGGTCAAGTGCAAAGGTGATTCGGCAGAAGAGGAGATGCATCATGAATCAATTGAGAAGTTTATTCTTTAGCAAGATCTAAACACTCAACAAGGAGGGAACATCTGTGTGAGCAGACCCTTGCCACCTTAATTTGACAGAAGTCCTTCCACCTCCATCACTGTCATCTTTTGCTGCTGATAGTTTCAGTTGCATGCAGGCTTCTGCTGGAGATGATGAAGTTAGGTATTCTTCTAGGATAAACATCCATCTAGCTGCCGAGTTTCAGATCATATTTATACGGGCTGGAGCTGCGCTGGTGCCAGAGCAACCAAGTGGGAAAGTTGGCCTGGCTCCATATAAACAGCTCTGACTAAGCAAGCCTCACTAAATTTGGAAAAGAATGAGGGAGAATTCATTTTTCTGCTGCCCTGGAGTATTTTATCTGCAGTTACCCCGTGTTATCATTTCATGGGAAGAGTTTCTATTACTCATGACTGTTCCCATCGTGTTTGTTTTCAGATAGCGTATTTTTATCTTCTGTAAACCAAAAGAGTTTAAAGATCCATCGACGAACAATGGATCAAGGGTCCATCTGCTTCTCTTCCCACCCGCAGGTAGCATTGCAATTCCTGTTCAACCAAACAATGCAAGGCCAGATCCTCCTGTGGTGCCACTCACAATCTCTTCAAGAAAACCTCTTCTTCTAATTTTAAGAGGGAATAGTATTTTTAATACAGACATCCTTTGCTACAAGTAGTGCAAAGACTGGAATAAATAGCCTGAAATATTTGCTTCTCAATTCATGCTTTGGTTGATTGTAAATATAGTCTGCACATAAAGATTATGCCGATGTCATATTTCTCACTTGCATACATTATGAATTGCATAGCTCCTTTCTTTTTGGACTTTAAGTCAATCTAAGAAATGTTTGACACTGAAGAATCATGCTTCTGAGCCCATTTACCCATAATCGAAAGACTTTGCCAAAATCACAGGTATTTCCTGCAATTGTTGGAGGGTTTTTTCCCAACACCAGAATTTTGTTCTTTGTCCCACTTCCTCTACAAATTTTTACTGCAGGATGCAGGCAGCAGGCAAGTGAGGTCCAGTGTCCCGGAGCTCTCCGTAACACATTAAGAGGCCACTGCAAGCTGGAAAAGAAAAAAAACATGGTAAAAAATAGGGGCAAACCCTGAGCAGGAAACTCTGCTGGGGCTGAGGCCAACAACATCCTACTGCTGGCTGGGACCAAAAGAGGAAAAAATGAAAAAAAATGCTATAAAGAAGATTTTGGGAAGCTTTGTCCTTATTTGGAGAATAAGTTTATGCCTCTGCCCAAAGCAGGCTGGTTTCTAAATTTATTTTACTAACAGTTGCTTGAGAGGATATCAAGAAACAAAGCCAGATCTCAAAAACACCTTCCCCCTGCCTTCTCCCCGGCTCTACCTGCTCCCCAGCGGTGCAGGGGGATGGGGAATGGGGGGCTGCAGGTCAGTTCATCACACAATGTTTCTGCCGCTCCTTTCCCAAAGGAGGAGGACTCCTGACACTCCTTTCCCTGCTCCAGTGGATCCCCTCGTCACGGGACAGCCCACCGACTTCTCCACCGTGAGTCTTTCCCACAGGATGCAATCCTGACCCACCGGATTGCCCTGGCACGGGCTGTTACCACGGAGTCACGAATTCTTAGGGAGCTGCCACCCGCTCCGGCGTGGAGTCCTCCATGGGCTTCAGATGCATCTCTGCTTTGTCATGTGTCTCATTCCCTACGCCCTCCCTCAGGCTCAGCATCTGCTCCAGCGCGGGCTCTCCCCGGGCTGCGGTGGGTCTGTGCCCCACACTCTGCTATGGCTGGGGGGGGCTGCTGCCCCTCCCCGTGGGCTGCGGGCAGTCCCCGCTCCGGCACCTCCTCCCACCCCACCGCGCTGACCACGGTCCATGGGGCCGTTTTTCTCCGTCTCAGCCCTCTCCAGATCCCTTGGCCTAGCGCACCCGGGCATGGGGTCCTCCCTGCGCTCTCTCCTCTGCGCCACCGCGGCCATCTTCATCCGGTGGGGCTGGTTTGGCGTGGGCAGAACCGCCCAGGGATGGGGAGGGGGCATGATGGATAACTTTCTCTTTTGCATGCACGTCCGCCTAACTACAGCCATGTGAATGTAATTACCGGGAAGTTACGGAGTAATTAAATATTGTGGCTACCTGGATTAATGAGATTACCTCCAACAGCCTGGTCTTGTCCCACATTAGGAGCAGATCGGAGCTGCACCTGAAATAAGCACCTTACAAAATCTTTTGCCATTGTCCATCTCTGCAAACTCCTTAGCAAACTACCTGTTTGTCCATGGCAGTCTCAGCCACACAGATTTGGGGTTTTAAAATGGAAATAAGGTAGCCAGAAATGGTGAATCTTGGGCCATGACATCTTCTACACCAGAGCATCCCATGTACTTTCTCCCCTAAAATCCCATACACTTAGTATTGTAACGATCCACAGCTTTTCTCTTCCTTTAACCGTATTTAAAATTATTTAAGATTTAAAAAGATGAACATCCAGGGAACTGCGCTGTCATTTAACCCCCCTTTTTTGGTGAGAAATAGCAATAAAATCCATAGTAATCCAGGAAGTTCTGCGTGGTTACTTTCGAAGGATTATGCTTTTATGCTTGAAACAGCAAATCTGTCCAGACCTCTCTCTGATTTCATCGTAGCTGTTACAGACTCACAGCCCGTTGTGTAAAATATAGAAACATCCAGGAAACTCCCAGTGAGTCCCTTTTGGTGGTGGTGCTGGTGGGTGGCTGGAAGGAGTTTGTCAAGCTGGGAACATAATCATGGGATGCAGGTCCTTCAGCTCTTCCAGGACTCTGGAGGTCACGGTGCTTCTTGCTGGTTCCCCTTTTTAGCCTGAATGCCAGTCCTGATTTAGGAATTCCATGTATACGAAAGGCTTCAAGAAATCACACTTTGGGAACCACCATTTTTTTGTCTCATACAGAAAATTTGATTTTTTTTTTTTTCCCTGAGAGGGACAAAATAAAATTTTGAAAGCATCCGAATTGCTTGAGGTGTGAAATCAAGTTTCTCTGGTTTACGCTCAGAAAAACCCCTTTGTTATGGGGTTCCTTAATACAAGGAAGAAAGGGATCTCTCCAGTATCCAGGACAATCTGGAAGCTCTCTAGATCATAGTCCAGGTTTTGGTTTTCACGTTGCCACCGACTTGTTGGGTCACGTACGTGCGCATGGCTTTAACTTTTAGCTTCACTTCCCTGTCTGTAAAGCGTTGTTATTTCTTTGATAGAGTTAATGAGTTAATTACTTGTAAATGGCTTTAAGGTTCCCAGAAATGAGACTGTCCGAGTGTTTATTGCTCCTGATGGGATCTTGATCATAGCAAGACAATACAAGATTAGTGTTTATTGCAGCGTGACTGAGTATCTGTTTACGTTAAAACAGAGACTGCAGTGCCCGAGCCTAGAAAACATCCTTTGTAGGAGCTTTGAGTCAGCTTTAAAATCTGATTATGTGATAAAATTGGCTAATAGGGCTAAACAGTAGCCAGCATCACTTGAGTATGTGTTTCTTGAAAAACCTTATCAGCTCTCAAACACCCACGGCCCTGTGGCACTGTGTCCTAGGGAGAGGCAGATGGCATCTTTTCTTAGAGAAATGGATTTGAGATATGTTTTGCCCACTCTTAGAAGGAAAAAACAATGTTTTCTCTATATGGGTAAGACCTGGACAAATTCCCTCTCTGCTTGGTTATCACAACAGCTGAACACATCTCCGAGGGTTTCCTGATTTGCCATGCAGCAAGTGGCCATTGGTAGGCTTGGGTAATATTTTGGGTCGCTGGTGATAACCGTTTCGGTTCTGCATTATGATTTCTGAGCTGATGTACGTTAAATACAATCAAATCTCTATTTCTCCTTCAGGAAAAACAGAGGCCGTCATCAAAAACTTCAGCCCGCACTACAGGCGCCAGTACGCGGTGGCTTTCTGCAGGCACGTGCAGGATGAGCTGGAGCAGCACCGGGATTCCCAGTCCCAGTTCCTGAAAACCAAGGTAGGGGGGCACGGGAGCCCTTCCCCTTCCTCAAGCTGCCATACAGCTCTGGTCTCTTGCATGAAATAATTAATGCATTAACTAGTTAAATCACACATGGAATAGTCGTCATGTATGAGAAACGTGAGCTGGAAGTGTCTCAGCTACTGGCTTGGGCTCAGTTTTCTTGTTTTGCCCGGTGTTGAATGCCCTCAAGTACAGTTAACAGGTGGTACAGATGCTCAAAGCCTCTAAAAGTCAAACCCGAAGGATTTTTAAAGTTATTTGAATGTTTCTGTATAGGCAAGCCCAGTACAGAAGTGTTCTTTCAGCTTCTTGTGTTGGATGGTTGAATGCATAATAAATACTTATCTAGGGCATTTTCTGTGTGTATTTTCTTGTGTATAACCCAAGTGTACACGGTAGTTCTGCAAGCACAGATGTTGGATTTGGTTCAGTTAGGTTTTTAGGTAGAAAAGTTGCATTTGGGTGCAGGTTTAAAGTTTGTTTTTTAAAATTCCTCTTTGTTATGGTCTCGCTTGGTTGTCTCATCGTAGCGCGAGGAGAACCATGACACGAGTTTCTGGTACAAAGCGTGCATTTCATCAAGGTAGAGTTGGACACTTGGACAAAACCAGGTTTTGCAAGAATCTTGGCACAGAAATCGTACGTTCTGGGCAGAAATTTATGTAGGAAACCTAATTAACCCTGTAGCCACATAAAGGGGCTACATAAAGTTCCATAAAGAAGATGGTGATAATCCCCTCTGTGAATTGAGCTATGGAGAGCTGGCTTTTGCTCGAGGAGGAGAGACAAAAAGAGAGATGAAAGTCTCTTTGTTAGAGGAAAATGCAGAGAACCAGCCTTCAATATTAAGAAGATACCTGTCTAAATTTTTCGTCCGTGTTGGAAGTCACGGGTTTCCAATGCTTTTGGAATGACGAGGGTAAAGCAACGAGGTGGGATGTGAAAGGTGGGATGATAGAAGAGCCATGTCTTTCAGAAAGATGCATGGCAGTTACAGGAGCACAGGTGCAAAAACGCTACAAAGAAATGGGAAATAATTTACTATTTTATAAAAAACCTCTTTGCTGCATCAATGAAGTGGTTTTAGTACGTAGTGGAAAATGGGAGATGATGAACTACAAGTCATCTTGTGTGCAGCATGCCACCCGAAAGGTAAATAAGAACGTCTCTGTCTCAGAAATCTGGAAGTATTTTTAGGAGGCAGAGCTCTTCTGCTGCCTCCTCACCTCAGGCTGCAAGAATTTGATCATGTGTGTAGTAGCTGCCCGGATCAGGGAGATGTTTGTGACTCCAAATTGCATTTGAAGACTCAAAAGGCCTCGTAGCAGCCTTGTGGAAACGTAGAAATAAAAGCTTCAAAGTGGCCAGTGATTTCAAATCTCAAAAATTGTCTTTGTAGCCCCCGCTGGAAGCTGGGACGGTCTTGTACGAAGCAGAGCTGCTGCATTTTGCCGAGGATCTGAAGAAGTGGAAGGACAGATACGTCGTCGTCAAAAACGACTACACCGTGGATTGCTTTGACACCAAAGAGGTAAATACTTCTTCCTCCTACATTCTTCCGCTCCCAAATAAACTGATATCCCGTGAATTTGCCGCTGCTGCTGCCTCTTTTTTAGGGATATGGCCGATAAGCACTGAGAGGGTATTTTTAAATGCATTTTTTTACATTTAACCATGGTTTAGATTTGACGTGGCTGGGGAATATATCCAAAATTCAGTCTGACATAAAAACTTCCCCTTTGGGGAGTATCCCCGTGCATTAGCTTTGTCAATAAGTTGCATATTTTCTGTGTTCCCTCTCCTTAAATCTCTCTTTGCCTCCCTCTCTCTTGATTTTCCAGGCCTACCAGAAAGGAGCCAGCCCTAAATATCACGTTCTTCCTGCAGGAGGCAAAGTACTGACTTCAGAAGAAGATTACAACTTGCTGTCTGATAAACATTTCCCAGATCCTGTTGGTAAGGCCCGCTCGAAGCTGAACTGCCAAAAACTCCCTCTTCCTTACGCACATCTCTTCTGGGCAGGCTTTGGCTTTAAATTTAAAAAGATGATGGGCACACAGCCCTTTTTCGGTCAAAGCACAGCTCCAGAGTGGACGTACACAGAAGATACTACAAGCTAACATTCAGAGAAATGCTGGCTCCCTGTTTTTTCCAGCATCCCGGCACAAAGGTGCTGGAAGCTGTGCAGAAGCAGGGCAGGAACCACACCACCATTGTTCCCGGGCTTTGTTAATATTCCTGGTTTATTTGTTTCCATTTTTAGATGCCAGCTGTCTGTATTGACTCACAGTTGATAAGAAGTCCCACAGAGAGGACAGGAAGGTTGCAGCTGCTGAATTTGTTGTTTCTGGGATGGGAACCGCTGTGGTCCTGCCCACCCCCACCCCGCTCCACGAAGATGGAGAAAATCTGGGCTTTAAAGGAGCCAATCTCATGTTTCAGAGTCAGACTGGGAAAATGGGATGCGACATAAGGAAAGGGCAACGTGTAGACAAGGATTTATATTTTGAGTCCTGCCTGATGCCACTTAAAGTTATGACTGTTGGGAGGTGTCCCCCTTACGCCTTTTTCCCAAGACGTAGGGTGGTCAGAGGGTAGCATGAGGCAGAGATGTCCTCTCTGTATCACCACAGGAGTTGGGGTTGAGCAACATGGAGCAGCCCAAGGCCTTGTGGGCTTCCCATGGCTCTCCCTGCACAAAGAGTGGCTCAGGTAGTCTTTTGTGGCCCTTCTCCCCTTCTGTGCGATGCTGAAGACCCTCTGAGATGATCCACTTGTGGCTGGGCTCTCAATGCATGGCGCAGAGACAAGAGTGGGTTTGGGCATCCATTATAGACAGCGTTGCACAGCATCTTCTGTGTGCAGTGACTCAGGGCAGGTGGAAACTGAAGCTACTTAATACTTTCTTTGGTTCATCTTCAAGAGCTTGAAGTGCCAGTTCATAAGGCCGTCTTGCAGTTGTGTTTGGAAACCCTGGAAGCCAGGGAACCACTGCTCTTCCTACATGGTTTAATGCAGTTTTTTCTATATGTAAGACCATATAGGATCATATAGTCTCTGTGGAAGAGACCAGTGTTGCCCATTAAGTTACTTACTTGCCATGAAAACCTTTTCCCTAGCAGTTACAATCCAATAAAATAGTTACTCCAGAATTTTACCAGAAATACGTAGCGTATGTCCACCTTGAATACAAAACAAGAGGGCATCACTTTGCTATGGTATAACGTAGAGAGGTGGTTGGTGCCTGCTGAGTTTGCCCGTCCCAGCTGTGTCCTCCTACCCTCCGTGCCAAATCGCTTCGATCAAAGAGAAGACAGGATTTTTTCATACCTCTTGCTTCCCTGCTAGCAAGGACCTGTTCTCTCTGTCATAGAATCATAGAATGGTTTGGGTTGTGAGGGACCTCAAAGATCATCTAGTTCCAAAGCAGAAGAAAAGACCCAAACTCCTCAAAGAAATCTGCAGATTTCACATGGAGGTGTGTTTTTTTTGTGTAGGGTCGAGTGAGAAGGAGGTGGCTCAAGCCTTCGTTCAGCTGCCGAGGGAGTTCCCGGTTTACCTGTGGCAGGCCTGGCCCTTCGCCCGACACAGCTACTATTGCTTCCCGGAGCCAGAAGCTCAGAGGCGGTTCAGTGCCGTGCTGGGGGACTGCGTGAGACACTCAAACCACGGTGAGTGCACAAAGGACCTCTTCCTCCACGTCGTTCACCCCCGTGAAGGTTTAAGTAGCTTCAAATTATAGTAAAAAAGCTGTAGAAAAACGCGAGTCACTTAGGAAAGACACTTTGCTTTCAGTTCCTTGAGGAACGTGTTGACATACCTCTTCTTCTTGCTTTGCTGGCAGTGAAGTTAGGCAGATTTTTGCTGCAGCGTAGTCAGCTTGGGTAGAAAAACATGGGAATTGCTCTGAAAGTGGCATTCCGCGCTCTGACCACTCATCTAAATCCAGTATCACGATGCAAAATCATAAGAGATATTTAAATAAATACGGCACGGCAAACTCCCACCTGTGTTTGCAAGCTTGACAAATCCGTCGTGGATGTAGACGACCAGGTTTGTACAACGTGGAGGGAACGTGGTCTCCCAGTACGTTTCTGTGATGTTACACATACGTCACTCGTGGTCAAACATCTGATGTTTTCCGCAGGCGTTTGGATGGCAGCTCAAGCCCCAGCCGTTGTTAAGCTTTGTAGGAGGAACATGAACGGTGTGTAAGACACAGGAATGATTGTTTGCACAAGGGTAAACTTGAAATCTCACTTTCTGAGCATGTTAGACTGGAAAACTTAAAAAAACCCCCATAAACTTGTGTCTTGGTAGGATTGTAGAAATAACCATGCTCCCATGAAATTGGAGGAGCATTTATGAGTTGTATCCTTCAGAAAAAGAAACGCTTCCCTGTTTTTCAGATGACTTTTCTGTGTTTTCCATTAAGCTGACCTGGTTGCCTCGCTGGTGTCCAGGCTCTTTCATGCCTGTAGTGTCGCTTTTGAGTCTTATCAGCTCCTGCTGCCCTTGGTGGGAGATGGGAACACTCAGGAACTTCTCCAACAATCTCAGCTACTTGGGCCTGAAGGTTGTGCTTGTATATAGATGAATTGAGAACGCAGTCTGTGAAGTCACTTTTACTTACAGAAGTGGCTCCCAATGTTTTATTTTTTAGCAGTCACTTTTGTCTCTTGGCTATTATCTTTACCCCATTACCTTCAGTCTCACGCTGTCCTCCCCAGATGCTTCTCAACTGCCATCTCTTTTCATAGGATCATAGAATGATTTGAGTTGGAAGGGACCTCAAAGATCCAACCCCCCTGTCATGGGCAGGGACACCCTCCACTTTGCTCAAAGCCTCATCCAACCTGGCCTTGAACACTTCCAGGGATGGGGCATCTACAACTTCTCTGGGCAACCTGTGCCAGTGCCTCACAACCCTCAGAGTGAAAAATTTCTTCCTTATATTTAATCTAAATCTCCCCTCTTTCAGTTTAAAGCCATTGCCCCGTGTCCTGTCACTGCACGCCCTTGTAGAAAGTCCCTCTCCAGCTTTCTTGTAGCTCCTTTAGGTACTGGAAGGCTGCTAGAAGGTCTCCCCAGAGCCTTCTCTTCTCCAGGCTGAACAGCCCCAACTCTCTCAGCCTGTCTTCATAACAGAGGTGCTTCAGCCCTTGGATCATCTTTGTGGCCTCCTCTGGATCCACTCCAACAGCTCCATGTCCTTCTTGTGTTGGGGACCCCAGAGCTGAACACAAAACTGAAGGGGGGGTCTCAGGAGAGCAGAGTACAGGGGCAGAATCCCCTCCCTGGACCTGCTGGCCACGCTGCTTTGGATGCAGCCCAGGACACGGTTGGCTTTCTGGGCTGCCAGCGCACATTGCCGGCTCATGGTGAGCTTCTCCTCAACCAGCCCCCCCAAGTGCTTCTCCTCAGGGCTGCTCTCAATCCGTTCCCCCCCAGCCTGTGCTTGTGCTTGGGATTGCCCTGAACAATGGGCAGGACCTTGCACTTGTCCTTGTTGAACTTCATGAGGTTCGCATGGCCCCACCTCTCAAGCCTGGCTGGCATCCCTTCCCTCCAGTGTGTGTTTTCCCTTGTCTCCACTGCCAAAAGCATTCCTGGTCTCTTTCAGGATGCCATTCCCATGATGAAAACACACATTACTGTATTTCTAAGCAGCTCTCTAAGATGCACAGCTATTTGCACGGTGCTCGGTGGTGGCTGGTGGCAGGTGCCTTCTTCACAGGACATGCAGGATTCTTGATCCGGATGCGAGCCAGGTGGTGTACACTCCCCTGGCATTCAGTGGTCCGTCTCTCCAGCTCGTTTCCAGCT